ATGGGAAAACCTTGAATTTTGAAGAACAAAGTCATTAGACACCTAGCTCAGAAGTCGAGAAAGGTCATTTCCCGCCATCTAGAAATCAAAATTTTCCCGGGAGAGAAATGTTGACCCCACCACCTAGATTTGATTCCAGATCTGCATGATTCATATTCCCATTCATCTTATAAGCAGTGGCTAAAGACAAGAATAAAAAGGAAGATATAATGAACAGATATCACAATACCCCAGCCTGCAACCCCTTCTCCACTTCAAAAAGTGTCCATATCGCATTTGATCTAAGCCGCCAGGTATTCTCCGCGTAACCACCGGGAACAAGGGTAACCACCGGGGGACAAGGGGAAAATATCCATCTGTGGAAAATCTTTCCCCATTGAATGCCCTTTTCACCCGGGAAAGTGCCTGAAAATCTCAAATTTTAAATCGCATATTTTTTGATGAGGTAGGCCAATTTCCTCTAAAAAATTGCACATTTTAGGGAGTTTTGATCAATTCCGACGAAATTAGAATTGAAAAAAACCAAAATTTTTCGCGCGCTTCGCGCGCATTTTTTTAATGTTAAAGCTTCTGCTTGCTCTCCTTTGCCTTCTAAGTTATAACACATAGTCCCAAACTCAAGAAAGAAAATTTAAGATAGATCGTTTTACCTAAAAGAAGGGCCTCAATGTGTAATGATGTTGAAAGAATATGTTTGTAATAAATAAAGTCATAAGGAAAATGCTTATATTCAGTTTAAAAAAAAACCAGTGTGGCCATATATAACATAAGAGCATTTCTTGTTGAGGTAGGACAATTTCCGCTAAAAATTGCACATTTTAGGGAGTTTTGATCAATTCCGACGAAATTAGAATTAAAAACACAAAAAAATCGCGCGCATTTGTTAGGATTAAAGCTTGTGCTTGCCCTCCTTTGCCTTCCAAGTTATTTAAAACCATAATAGTCCAAAACTTGAAAAAGAAAATTTAAGATAGATCGTTTTACCTAAAAGAAGGGCCGCAATGTGTTATGATGGTGAACGAATAGGCTTATGGTTGTAATAAATAAAACCACGATGAAAATGCTTATATTTAGTTTCAAACACACGTGTGTGGCCTATATTAATAATAAAATAAGCCCTATGTCGTGTTGTTTTCCATATGGGGTGGTTGGGGGGTGGGGTATCACACCAAGTCATAAATTACTAACCGGGAAAA